ACTGAGTTACGGTCATATCACGATCCAAATCCTAACTTGTCATAATGGCGCCTGTCGATGGTACTAGGCAAGCCGACATTTATAAGATACTTCCAATATTTCACAAAAACATAAATCAATAGTTCTTAAATAAACCGTGTTTTGTGAAATAAGAAAAACGAACAAACACTGAAATCAAATGACGACACGCTAATACATTATAGTAATTTGTGGACACTAAATCGCCTACGCACAAAAGTAGTAAAGGCGCTCCCAATCAAAGATGCTTTGCGAACAAGTACAACAAGTCCAACAATCACTGTCAGACGTGCAAGGTCTAAGACAAGTATTAAGCTGTGGGAACACTCTTTTCTTGAGTCCTGAGAGCACATGATCAACATCCGGTTTAGCTATAACTTGTTTCTTTTAGAACAAGTGCACATTGACTGGAATATTTCACCATCATAATTATAATTATCAGAATTAATTAATCATCAAGCATAATATGAGAAACCCATATTTACACATCATATAATGAAATGCACATGCATACACATTACTAAACTCAAGTATGAAATATGTACAAGGTCACATATGTACCTCTATACATATCAACAAGCAACATAATGTAGAAGAACAATGTAGAGATAACACTACCGGAAAATAGGCCTATGGGAACGGTTGTTTTGGCAACGGTTATTAAACCGTGGCAATAGAGTAGATACGGTAACAGTTACAACCATTACAATAGAATTTAGATAAAATCAGCACACTTTAGATACTAAACCATTCCAGTTGACACTTAATCGTTACCATAGGTCTTTTTTTATAGGAACGGTTGTATGAACCGTCCCAATAGGCCTATTTGTAGTAACGGTTCTAGAAAGTTTTTTAATATCGAAACGAGTATTTTGTTCCCTCCTCGTTTTCCCCCCTAAATTTTGCTAAACCCGCCAATATATCCCTTTTTCCTTTTATTTCTTATTTATTTTATTTTGGTAAATATAAAAATTAAATTAAAATTCCTCACGTATTGTCGACACTTCCAATGCTCGATCTCATCGGTAACTCCCAAATAACCTTCTTTGGCAAATCACCAGCAAACTCTTAAAGACCCAAATCACCTTCTTTGGCAAATCACCATCAAATTCTTAAAGAAAATTCCCAAATCATCTCATTGCTGTTGGAATGGGTTTCGTTTTTATTTTCTTTGTGTTTTACCTCAATGGGTTTCCTTGATTAAATCCAAAGCTGGAATCGACAATCATAGCAACCCAGCAAACTCTTAAACCCATGTCCTAAATTCTCAAATCCCCAAATCCATTTGTTAACCAAAAATCCCCAAATCTCAATTGGTAACCCAAATCTCCCAAATCCCCAAAGTCCCAAATTCCATTTGTTTCGCTCGATGGATCTGAAGAACAGCGATTACAGGTGAAGAAAATACTTCAATCGCGAGAAAGTTTCGACCCAAAAAGCAATCAGTGAGAAATCAACTTCAGGTAATTTTTCTTTTCTTATTTGGGCATTATCTTCTATAATCATTCTTTTTTTTTCTTTAACCTTTATGGTGTGAGCAGTGTATATGATTTCTTGCTTTCTGTTGACGTTTTGAACCCAAATTATTTTGGTTTAATTTTCATTTGGGTATGGTAACGTGGATCAGAATTTCTTTGGGTAACTATTCAAAGATCAAATTTAACATTATTTATTTTTTTTACCTGTTTTATCTACTTCTTTTGCTTGATTTTACTGCTCCAACTGCTCCTTTTGCTTCAAAGTCAAAGATTTTTTTTCATCAAGAAGTTGTGCATAGAATTTTATTATTAATTGATTGCCATAAATTGACTGGATTAATTTTCCTCCAATATTCTATCCAGGTATTGAGTTTACAATAGAAATGTTTTATTAAATATTGAACCCATAATAAGTTTACATAATTAATTTTGGCATGATTTACTTAGAATTCTGATAGAGTTCACTATTTTCTTCAAGATGAAGCCTTTATAATTGTTCTTCAAGGTGTAGGGACTGTTGATTTTTTCTTTATTAGCTCCAGTTCTGAGTCGCTAAATATCCTTTTTTATTGGAGAGATTTGGTTTCAGTCCATGCTAATGTTACTTCTGTTGTTTAAAAGTTAAGTGTGAGTGGAAGATCATTTCCTCATTGTAATGTAGTGGGATTACATAATTAAAAGAAAATATAATTTCTATTTTGCAACTAGCAATTAGAGGTAAGAGAAATCTTTTGAGTATTGTGCACCATGTATACTGCATGTAATGAACTATGCAAACATGTTTTCTTAAATAGGATATCAAGTAGTTCATGTATCATTCTATCCTTCGTCAAAATAACAGAAAGTTTAGATTGTATGTCTACATTCTCCTGTTTCCTTCATCTAGGTGAAAAGTTGCCTCAATAAAATTCTACGCACAACTAGCAACTCATCAAACTTTGCATCATCAACTCATCAAGATAATGTCCACAACTAGCTACTCCCTTATAAGCCATTATTCATCTCTTTCATGGCTTCAGTTGTAGTGTAAATAGTCTCTGATGCCCCATCTGTTGTATATATGATAATGTCCACTACTGTATCAGTTCTTGAAAGAAACTTTGCATTCCCTCCTAGAACAAGGCCTGTTGCTGTTCTATGAAAATTAATGTAAAAGGAGTTTCAGTTGCTTCAACATTTCATACAAGTATACTACTCCCTCCGTTTCAATTTATGTGAACATATTTTCTTTTTAAGTCGTATAAAATAAAATGACCGCTTTTCATATATGGAAACAATTTACCTTTATGCAGTGATTTATAGCCAATATATGTGTATCATATCACAGTACAAGTTCAAAAGTCTTCGCTTTTTTCTTAAACTTCGTGCACAGTCATATATGTTCACATAAATTAAAACAAAATGAGTAATATTCAAGAAATAAGCCATCCATTTGGAGAATGAATTTTTCTTATCATGCCAAAATTGCTTTACTGTTTGTGACTTTTTGGAACGTTCCACCTTAAAAGCAGTGGTCAATGTCAAATTAGTATGCTTCTGGTTTATTTGGTTAGTTTTGTTGATTTACTTTTATCGTATAAGATATCTATGGATAATGGTGATAAAAGTTGGATGAATCTCCTGAGATGGACGGATAAGTATATCCGTGGAGTGAATGATTTTCTTGAGAAGGCATTTGAAAGAGCCGCCCAAGGAAATGAAATATTATGTCGTTGCAAAAAGTGCATGAATCGCTGTTGGTATTATAGAAATGTGGTGGAGGATCATTTTGGTTGTTCATGGATTTGTTGATGGTTATACCAAATGGGTTTTCCATGGGGAAGGATTTTCCTCGAGAAATACACCTCATCCAAGCAATGATGATGAAGGTTCTGCCATGTGTGACGATATTGATGGACTACTTCATAATACATTTAGAAATATAGAGGGCCAGGAAGGGGGTGAAGAAGATGTTGGGGAAAGACTATCTGAAGATGCAAAGAAGTTTTTCAAATTGCTGGAGGAAGGAAAACAAGAGTTATATCCGGGGTGTGAAAATTTTAGTAAACTGAGTTTCACTATTCGATTGTACTTGCTTAAATCATTGCATGGGTTGAGTAATGTAGCTTTCTCTGATTTGTTAGAGTTGATAAAAGAGGCATTTTCATTTGCTCAGGTACCGGAATCTTTCAACAAGGCTAGAAACATGATAAAAGATTTGAGTCTTAATTATGAAAAAATACATGCACGCCCTAATGATTGCATGATATTTTGGAAAGAAAATGCGAATGCCGATAATTGCTCTATTTGTGGGTCTTCAAGATGGAAGAGTGCTGGTCCTTTAACTAAAGCAAGCTCTAAAATCCCTACAAAGGTTTTAAGGTACTTTCCATTATCCAAATAGCAGTTGCGGTTGTTTATGTTGTTGAGATTTTTGTTTTTTCATATTTCCCATATGGAGTATGGAAATAGGGTTTCCCAACTAATCTTGTTTGAGTTATGGAAGACGAAAATATCCCTTAGATTCACTCGCTAGTTTTCATCACTAACTATGTCCGGGGAAGTGAGGCCCATGTTTCTCCAAAAATGTCGCGAGATTGGGCATTTCAGAAAAATGTGATGGATGTCTTCCATTCCCATTCTGCAAACAGTACAAGTTTCATCAATGTTCATATACAAGCTTGGATGATGCATTAACCTTTTATTTTGCAAGCTTTGATGATATACAAGTTGATGATGAAATGATATGCTATTCCCATTTACAATTTGAATAGAAGAAAATGACTTTAGAAAGATCCCTTTTGTATTTTTACAGATCTCATGTATTATGTTTCTCTTATGAAAAATGTCATATAACTAAAATAACATTCATGATATACTACAAGACCAAATCTCTTAGCAGTGCATGTGACATATTAATTGCTTATTTTTGCAAGCTTGGATAGCAAGATTTGATTAATTAGTAAAGCATGCGACAGCTACGAGACTATCCCAAAATATTGTTGTCATTTCATTCATTGAGGTTACTTGGTATCTAAATGCATAAATTAATTGGAAAAACAACAGGGAATTAGTTCAAATAATTGCTTTTTCTTTTTGTGTTTGCTAAATAGAAACAGTTGTGCAGTTTATACCATTTGTTCTTTTCAGTTTTGGTTGTAAATTATTGTGCGGTTAGAACATCACTTGCTACATCAAAATTATCAGAATGAAAGTGAGAAGGAGTTGGAACAATTTAGAAGAAGTAATACTAACATATTTGACCATACTTCTAAACCAGTTCTCATCTATTAAATAGATGATTTTACTATTACCAGTTGGATATACCGTGTTTGGCTTTTTGTATGTTTGTGGGATTTAGTTGTGGCACTCTATTGAAATAACCAAGTATGTTGCATTTGCTACATTCCGAAGATTCCAAACAGCCGTCTTCTAAACCCTTTGTTTCTTAAATTTATTATTTTTCAAAGTATAAAAGACAAGTAAATAAGAAAAGACTAAAAAGCATTGAAATTACACGAAGAGTAATTTGTTGGTGTCAGCAGACACTAAATTTTCCATTTACACACAAATTCATAAGTTTGCGCACAAGTACAACAAATCCAACAATCACTGCAATCACTGTCGGAAGTACAGGATCTAAGACAAGTATTAAGCTGTGGGAGCACTCTCCTATTGAGTCCTGAGAGCACATGAACAACATCTGATGTAGCTATAACTTGCTTCTTCGAGAACCAAGACGCATTAACTGAAATATTTCACAACCGTAAATAATCAACTAATTATTGACATAATAATAAAAATTCACATTTGAACCTCGTATAATAAAACACACATGCATATACGTTACCGAATTCAATTTATATGAAAAGTAACACAATATATATTGTAGGAGAATAATATAGAGATAAGTAGAGACGAATACTAACTAGTGGCTGCCATGATAAGAATAGTGAATATGAAGCTAAGCTTAATCATCGCCATGCTAGGAATAGCTCTTCAAGCTATAAGATTTATTTTGTGTAAGTATCTCATTACTAGGTCGGAAGGTCGTAATTTATAGTCGTCTTGATAAGTAACTACTCCATGCATGTAATATATTTGTTTATTTTTTCCTTTTATTTCTTTTATTATTTCTTCACTTGCTTCTATGTTCAGGTCTTGTCATTATGGCTTCCCTTTCTTATAAACGTTGCTTCTTCAATTTTTCATTTTTAAGATAATAAGTTGACTTAAATTCAGATCCATTTTTTTTCATGTCAAGTATATTAAGATTAAATATGAATTCAATCAAAAGCATTTATACTATGCACATGGCTATTAACTTTTTTCTTATTTAATTACACTTGTCCACCTGATTAAAGGAAACTATAGACTACTGACTCATTCCCAAAAAAATAAATTGAATTAAATATTTAAAATAAGATAGTTGACCAAGAAGTACTCTATAGTGAACTTTGCTTTTGTCGTTTATTTTTTTAAAATAATGGGTTGATCTAAATTCAGATCCATTTTTTTTGTATGAACCATGTTAGGATTAAAGATGAATCCAATCAAAAGCATTTATATAATGCACATGGCTATTAAATATTTCTATTTAATTACATATTGTCCACTTGATTAAAAGGAACTATAAAATTCTTTTGTTATTGTAAATATTTTTGTGTTAGGATTTATATATAATGTAATAAGATTTACAACTAAAAGTTCAGAGTATTAAATAGTTTATATATATACTTCGTTATTAGCATTCATAATGTATACTCGAAGTATACATTATTGGAGATAATTAGTAGTTTCATCTAGATATCTATAATAGTAATAGGCGACTAACGCCAAACATTGATAATTAAAAACAATCTACTAAAAATATTAAAGGGGAGCCTTGACGTAATTGGTAAAGTTGCTACCATGTGACCAGAAGATCATGAGTTTGAGCCGTAGAAACAGCTCGGACCCCTTTCAGTATAAATTATTAATTTTAAAATTAATAACTTAAAAAGATTAGAAATCAGAACTCATAAACTTCAAATCTTGCGGCAACGCAATATTCCACTTATTTGTCTTACCTATTGGATGTTGCTCATGGACTCATCGCTTCAAAATGCAGGCACTGTCAAATGGGATATACAAAAGTTGCGTGCACAGAGCAATAGTAAACAGACAACGGGAGAGAATATCGTTGGCGTTTTTCTTCAGCCCAAAGGAATAGTAATACAATAGTAATTTGTAGCAGAGTTTGCTGCCACTAAATACTAAAAAATCATCGTTCCACACATGGTATGAACTCGAATATCAACGGTGTATGCACAATAACAACAAATCCAACAATCGTCGCAACCACTGTGTGAAGTACAAGATCGAAGACAAGTATTAAGCTGTGGGAGCACTCTCCTTTCGAATCCCGAGAGCACATGATCAACATCCGGTATTGCTATGATTTGCTTCGTTGAGAACCAGGGTACATTAACTGCAATATTTCACTATCGTAATGATATATCAGCAATTCAACATAATATGAATAACTCACATCTAAACATCATATAACACATGCATGCACATAAATGAAGTCAATACGTATGAAATATGTGCAACGTCACATATGTACCTATACGTATTAATGAACATAATAATATAGATGAATAACGTAGAAATAAATAGAGATGAATACTAAGTAGATTGTCACGATCCAAATTCCATATTAGGCCGTGATGGCGCCCAACACCGTTGTTAGGCAAGCCAACACTATTAAACTAGTGGATTCCCTCTTTAATAATCAGTACGTGATAACTTCTCATTGTTTGAAAGAAATTTAGGAATTTAAAGTTTTAAGCATAAACAAAGGGAAGCAATAAATACGTATTTAAATTATGAAAGTAAACCAAAAATCATAAGTCTACTAATGTGTGTGCCAGGACCTGGTGACACAAGTGTTGGCAATCTAGTAGAATATACAAAACCATACTATCCTACAGTCCGGAAAAGAAATAGACAGGAAAATAAAGACATAAGAGAGACTCAAGCTGCTGCAGAACGACTCAAAAGGGCAGTTCACCGGGAAGTCTCAAGCTGAGGAGTCAAATCTACACGTCGGACTGATGGCCACAGGTACCTGCCTCAAAGCATGTACAATCAAGTACAGAAGCGTAGCGTGAGTACATAAAAATATGGACCCAGTAAGTATCTCGCGTAATCTCGAAGAAGTAGTGACGAGTGGTCGACTCCGACACTTACTAGGGCCAGCAATATAATAATATGAAGTTGAAATTTTAAATTCACAATGTACGTAGATAGTAACAAGCTCAAACAAGAACGATACTAATCCTTTTATCAAATTTAAGAAATCAAGGCACTTTCTTCATTTAAAACAGGTGACCTTTCAAGCAACAAATCGTACGAACTATAAAGAGTTCCGGTTCTATTATCACACACAAATACCACCGAGGACATTCGGCCCGATCCAATACAAAAGTAAACTGTGCAATGCCGAGGGTCGAGCGACCCGAACCATAGATGCATCTATTAACTTGCCGAGGCGAAAGGCTCGCTCCCATGAGATTAATGGAAATAGTCACCCCGCTCGCGGAATATACTTGCGATGCGGTTAAATATAAATATATAGTAATGTTTCCTCAATTCTTTTCAAAATAATAGTTTACTTGAAACCTTTGAAATCATGACATCCTCAACTTAGTTCCATTCGATGCAAATCAACAAATATATTCATATAGCGGTACCCGCAAAGCATGGTGTAAGCCTACAACTATCTAGACATAACAAAAATAGTAGCTACGTACGGACTCTCGTCACTTCGTGCGTGCGTAGCCCCCATAGTTAATGATATATTAATTAAGTTCACATATGGGGAAATTTTCCTCTTACAAGGTTAGAAAATAGACTTACCTCGCTTCAAAGCCTACTTCCAAACTCAAGAATGCGCTCAAACCCTCATATTGGAGCCAAACAATCCAAAACTATTCAAATAATGTATAAACCAATCATTATAGGTTCAAAAGTTCATATCCTAACTATTAAAGTGATTTTCCAACCCCAAGGGCAAGATTCCTAAAATTCACCCCCTGGGCCCACGTGCCCGGATTCCGGAAATTTTCGAGGGAAGTTATTACCCATAACCTAAGGAACATAAATATATGATTATCACTAAGTTTCATGGTCAATTTCGTGGTAAAAATCTCATTCTTGCCAAACCCTAGGTTTTCCACTAATCCCATGATTTTTACTAATCATTACACGTTAATCTACCCAAAATCTAAGTATTTAACTCACATATTGTAGGAATTACGTACCTCCAAAAGCTTGGTTAAAACCCCCTCTCAAGAAGCTCTAAAATCGCCAAAAATAGAGTGAAATGAATCAAAAACGTCTAAGGCCCATATTAAATGAAGGCCACAGCCTTCAGCAATTTCCCCACCTGCAGTCATGGGCCGCACCTGCGCCTCGCATCTGCGGACAATGGTCCGCTTCTGCGGAATTCACTAGGCCGGCAGGGGCCGCTTCTGCGGAAGGCCCACCCCTTCTGCGATTCCGCTTCTGCAGAGGAGGGGTTGCATCTGCGGTTCTAAGCTGCCAACCCTTGGCCGCATCTGCGAGTCAAGGCCCGCACCTGCGAGCTCGCACCTATTGCTGACCAACCGCAGGTGCGGTTATGACAGAAGTTGGGGCTTTAGCTCTTGCTTAAATATTTTGACTTAGTCCGAGCATCGTCCGATTGACGCTCGGAGCCCCGCCCGAACATACCCACAAGTTTGGAATGATAAAAGGGACTCGCTCGAACTCTCAGAATGCCCGAAACAACATTAAAACTAAGAATCACACCTTAAAACTAATTGAATCAAACATATGGACTTCAAGTTCTTCAATTTACTTCCAATGTGCCGAAACATAGGCATATTACTTGGATTGACACCAAATTTTGCGTGCAAGTCTTAAATGACATTACGAAATTATTCTCGGTCTCGGAATCCCGTTCGGACCTCGATATCATCAAAACCCGCTCTAAACAAAATTTAAAGAACTTTTAAAAACCATCAAGAACCAACTTTCACTTTATGCGCCAAAACGCTCCTGGGTCATTCAAAACCCAATCCGAACATACAGATAGGTTTGTCAGTGCGAGGATTCGTGATTTCATTAATTTGGACCCTCTGGTATTCACTGGGGCAGATCCAAACGAAGACCCTCAGGTATTTGTTGATAGAATGCAGAGGACGTTAAGGGTAATGAAGGCCACTGCAACTGAGTCAGTTGAGCTAGCTTCCTATAGACTTCACGATGTTGCAGTTAAATGGTATAAGTCTTGGGAATTGTCCAGAGGTGAGGATTCCAGCAGTATGGCAGGAGTTTACAGTAGCTTTTCTTCATCATTATCTACCACCAGAGCTTAGACGGGCCAGAGTTAGGTTCTTGAGTTTCGGGAGTATAGTCTTGAGTTTGATTCGTTGGCTAGGTATGCTCCCACTTATGTATCTAAGATGGAGGATCGGGTTCACCGGTTCGTGATGGGGTTAGAACCGCACTTGTTTAACGATTGTATATCGATCTCACTTCAGTCAGACATGGATATTTCTCGTATTCAGGCATATGCTCAGGGTGTAAAGGAGGGTAAGCAGAAACAGAGGGCCGATCATGAGCATAATAGGGCCCAGAATAAGAGAGCAAGGTCTTTGGGTCCTTATGGTGAGTTTCGGGGTGGTTAGAGGCAACAATACCCGAGGTATCCAGCCCAGCCATCGGCTAGCGCACCACCCAGTTTGGCGGTAAGAGTTTTGATAGTTCCATATATTCAGGGCCAGATCAGCATTCCAGGGCCTCAGGTTCTCAGTACAGGGGTGAGTCAAGTCAGATGAGGCCGCCCTTCCCACGATGTGCTTAGTGTGGTAAGTAGTATGCCGGGAAGTGCCGTATGGGATTGGGTGTTTGTTATACTTGTGGTTATTCGGGCCACGTTATGAGGGATTGTCTGACGAGAGGTGATGCAAGCATAGCCCAATCAGCGG